GCTTTTTTTTCTTGAACTAAGACTAGGAGTGTATGGCCCAAGCCCCACACTGTACTCGAATTCTCTTTATGAAAGTGTTAAGACCTAAATAAAGTGAATTAGCCTGAAAAGCGTTATGGCACGCGTAAAACACCACAATTTCACTCATTGCAGTCAGGGGGTTATTGGCTACAAACGCAATTCTTTTATTGAACTATACTACTTTGACCTTCATACTTATTTTGCTCTCTACTAAAGTGTTTTGCCCAAGATAACAGCCATTTGTGCAACTGTGCCTTCAAAACACACAACAAAATGTCGAAAAATCTCTTAAGATCGCAAGTCGCAGGTTTTGCGGGCAAATTAATAATATGAAGTGTTTTGCTAAGCTTACTTGACGTTAAAAAAGTAAAAGTTTCAGCGCTTGAATGAAGCGAAGATTGCGATAGCAATAACTTCGAATGTAATGGCGAGAACGGCTAGCAGATCGAGACGTGCAGCACGCTGATCACGCAGAAATAACGCACTAATACAACACACACATGATGAGAGCTATATTGACTAACAACGCTTACAGCTCGATGCTTAACACGCTGTTTAAACAAAAGTGACACACGAAACATAATCACAGGTACATGTATGATTGCGAACTAACGAGTGTCCCAGTTGTTACTTCAATATTCGAAAAACGCGCTCTTTTTGCAATTGAGGTCTGCCCAGCCAGCGAAGTGACCGTCGTGGCTCAGGTAGCTAACGCAATGATTCCGGTGAAAAGCCAAGGCATATGATCTTCCCCACTGAAAGATAAGCGCACGCGCACAGACAACGAACCCCCTCGGCCCCATCCGCAGGGCAAAGTAGGCGTGGAAGATAAGCGCGAGTTGGAGCATCGCGACGAGCTGCACTGTAAGCAAAAACTATCCGAGATTGGGGTTTTCGCGGCTCATGACCTCTCAAAACTCTCTCGCGTTCATAATTACTACCTCGAGTAGGAGTAAAAGATGGTACATGACATAATTTTACAACCACCTCTGAGGCACGTAGTAAAACGATGTCAAAATCGAGTTTACCACGTAGGGAGTTTTCTATCACGTGAGTTTTAACCTGCGTTTCAGAGTTTATTACCACGTGACTGCAAGGTGCAGTTGGTTCGGTAGCTTTTGCCCTATACCCCCTAGTGACGCTCTCAGTGAATCCTGAAGGTACGCGAGGACCACAGATGTTTTTTTTCTTTTTTTTGGCATCGTCGTGTTTTATGACTGAACTCGAGCCAACGCACTTTCACTGAAACTGGGAGCACCATAAGCACAACGAGCAAGGACAGCATTCTGTGAACGAAAAAAAAAGGAAGGGGGCTCTCAAAAAAAAAAAAAACCTGGTGTGGAAAGTTGTCCTGCATATTTTGGCATATTGTTGGCTATTGCTCTGCGGTCCCCTTGGAGACATGCAGTGCAAGAAGCCCGGGATCTGTGTGTCTGGTTGAGCTGATAGAGGCCACGTCTTTCCTACATCATCGAGTGACCGTACACTTTTGAGCCCCTCCGAACCTGCACGTCACGGATACTTCGCTTTCGTGCCGAATCGCGAAGATCTGCCAGTGGTAAGAAAATCAATCTGGCGTCATCATCAGTGGTTTCTTCCTGGAGGAACGATAGGCAAAACGCTTCACTCTGCTGTCAGCACCGAGCCGCGGCCGCCAGTGACCGGTGTGAGTGTGTCACCGGGGCAGGTGAATGAAGCATCACATATACTTGATTCCACAGAAGACGATGTCTGTTGGAGTAAAGTGCAGCCCGTATTATCCGCCCCATGCGTCAACTGTTCTCAAACATGTAGCACGAAGGCGAGCGCCGATACGAGCCAGACGGAACCAACAAGCCGCTGCCGGTGAGCACGAAGAAAACCGCGACGGGCCATCTCTTTCGTTGGAAGTACATACATTGCCCCGTCCCCGTAGGACTCCGCCGATAGCGGACGTGTATTCATTTGTGTCTGAAATGACGACGAAATTTACACAGGATGTGTATTCTGGAATCGCCAGCTGTGTTTCATCGCAAAGCCATGCTCCTCGAAAAGGCCTAGTGCGCCGTTTGTAAACAGCTTGTATATGCAGGCGTGCACCGCTCTTCTACGCCCGATGTCACGAAAACGTGCTGCTACTGTGTTTGGGCACCGTCGCTAAATGAAAATCATTGAGCTGCTATGATTTGTGTGTACTTAGGTATATTTCATTGACTTGCGCATCAGCACTGCTAACACGTGTGGGGCCAGGAGCCTCGTGTGCGAAGTAATTATGGGAAAGTTAAGATCGGGTAGATTTATAATAAAATTTCAGTGTGACATTTAGCAGCCTGCAGACCACCTCAAGTTTACGCTTGCTTCTTTAACCGTTGATGTTAATAGATGCAAAAAAAGAGCTCTCCAACCGGTACCGCACGGCCAGTCAAAAAGTCGTGCCTATATATATCGAATTGTCAAAGTACATTCGAGTAACCCGTGCAGTCTGTTCGAGAAGTGTTTTGTTATGCCTTTGTTGTGTTTGCGTGTTTGTTTGTATGTGAATCTCTATGTCATCAATTCTGCCACATCATTGGATATTTAATAAGTTTGTCGACACTGGGTGAATGCACCCGTCAACTTTTATTTTTTGACCACCGGAAATAACTGCCATAAATCACCTCAAAAAACGATGTAAAGGTAGTAAAACATTTACTCTCTCTATACTCGCTGAAAACCTCATCGGGGTAAAAAATTACTACCCTTCCTACGTTCAAAAACTCAGTTAGCACGAGAGTAAGTTTTTTATTCGATGGTAGGTGGTAAAACAAAAAGGAAAGGTAGTGCGCTAGAGAACAAGTTGTTTACCAAGTTTTTGAGGTTATTGCAGGTCATTTTTGTTTAGTGGGTGGGTGCCGAGTGCATGCGGCTCTTCTAAAGACAATAGTCTTTCTTGGGGTACTTTGACGCAAAAAGTTTTGGTCTGTCTGTCTGTACAATTGTCCTTTCTCCGCCTTTACAATGCGCCAAACGGTACCAAATGATACCCCAAACGGCCAACCCCATACGCAGCGCCCACCCATATTGCTCAGTTTTCAGCGTTTATACTTGTGCGATTGTCAATGAAAAATCAGTTATTGCGCATATCTCAGGCACCATACCAGCACGTCAATATTTTGTATGTGTGTCTTAATACTAGAGAAGGCATGCGAAAGTAATCTTAAGGACCGTAGCGTTTATCACGCAGAGCTGTAAGGGCAACGAGATGCTCAAAAAGACAAGTGTTTCCAACGCTTGTGAACACGACACGGTGGTGGCAGCAGCCCGTCGCTTTGTGTTCTATACTCGGCCACAACTTCTCTTGGCATTGAAGAGAAGGCTACAAAGCCAAATAGCGGGCATCCTATCGCCAGTGAATGTAGTTCGACACGAGCGCCTGTACTCTCACTGTAAAATACAGTTCCCCTTTTATTTTCTACGTGAAGCTCTTTGAGACAGGACGCAGTTCAGACCATTAAACAGCAGTCGTGTTTACTTAAGTTTACTCGTCCTTATTTCGCCTTTTCGTACGCGCGGGAAAGTCCCATCTTTTTACGTGCACCTCAAACGCTAAGCAGCGTCTGCGCCTACATGAAACGCTTCCGTGCGCACCCGTGGTTCACCCCCGTCACGTTCCATGGCGTCACAAAACGCGCGCCATACCGGACTACTTCGCGTAGTGCCACATGTGCAGAAATTCCGCCTTCATGGCGATTCTTTCAGTGCCAAAAAAAGTTGTCGTGGAGTATTGGCCACGAGGGCCTCCACTAGAGAAGCCAGCGCTGCGATTGTTCTGACGTCAAAGATAGGATATTAGTTGCGGAATACGGCAGCTTTGCTTTGGCGACGCCATTTGCATCGTCCCCCATGCCTGCACTGGTTCTTAGTCACAATTTAACGGTGCAAATTAGACACGAGAGTGCCACCAGGGGCACCAATTCGTAGTTTGCTTTCCCGTAATATCAGGTCTTACCACTTTTTTAAGCACTGGGCTTCGAAACATAGTGAAAAACGCACGGTGTCCACAGCAAAAGCGCAGGAAATGCGGCGTTATAGCCCACAACACAACCCGGCATCCTATGAGTGAAGTCATCACATAAGTGGCGCCGCGGTATGTCCTCGAGGCCAATACACCTTATCGCCTCAAAGACAGCCGCGTACGCCTTCCTTCGTTTTCGAAGATAACTGCCAAATAGCACTCATGTCTAACGTGCCTCGATGCACTCGTTCGTCTTCGCTGCACGGATCGAGCCTACCGCAGCACTTCCAGAATACAATTATCTGATTTTTCCACGTAGAACATCGAATAAACGTTCTGTTCACTCTCTAGTGACGCCAGGCTATCGTCTTTCCACGACATTTGCAGTGAAACATGCAGTTACTAGGCTTTTTTTTTCTTTCTGGAGTTTTCATATATATAGACACATGTATGTACACAGTGCATGACGGTGGTGACAGGGAAAATTAGCCGAGACTCTCCGTAATATTGTTACCGCAATAAAAATAATTCGTACCAGCACTACTAGCTCCGTCCTAATAAGATACGCTTTGCATTAGGTTAGGTTAAGTTCCCCGATTACAGGATGACACGTTGTCTTCAGATATAACTTGTTGTGCAAGATAAGAATAACTTGTAATGACACGCATGCCCAGTGAATAACACACAAACCTATGCGATTTCGCAAAATATGAAACAAAGGCTGAGATTTCGAAAACATCGCTCAAGTCAAGATGATCAATATGATGGCTGCAATATACATTCAAACAGTTTTCATGAACAGAGTATGTACAAGAATGCAGTGACGGGGACAGAAATTTTTCAACGCGGAGGGGGTGGGGTTCACACATACTTTACGTATGTTTGTGTGTGCGTCGGTATGAGAGCGTGTGTTATACACAAGCAAAACTGAATATTTTCGCAAAAGGTTGAGCCCGCTCCCACCCACCCCCCCTGGCAACGCCCATTCATCTTCTTGAAAGCTCACCTTTGGGCCAGTCTCTCCACGTGGTCCTTTCGGCCCAGGAAGTCCGTGAGCACCCTGCAAAAACGATTGTTTCGGGTGTCTGAAAGCATATGTTGAAACGAGCCACTCTGAAGTGAGAGTACGAGTGCTTCGTGCAGTACGATCGACAGTGCACTGTCACCGTCGTATTATGAATAAATATTTACATGAAAAATGTTTAAAAATAAATATATAGCAGTTCATTTAGCACAATACAGAAAAGGTCATAGTTGCGAAGCACAGCAGGTAGCAGCAAAATTCATTCGTGTCAGTGTTACCCAGACTTTGCCTGTTATTTATGATTTATTAGTTTACAACATTACAAATCGTTTGGACACAGTGTAGGCATTTGTTATAAACATCTTGCTCATCTCTCTGCTATCATTAGCATAATGCTTTTGAATGTGCATCCTGATCATCATCATCGTTAGTGCAATGGACAGCAGAGTTCTCGGAAGGTAAACTTAACGTATAGCGAATCTCTTGGAGAAGCCCACACCTGCAGAAAATGGCAGCTTATCAGTTTTTCATGAGGCTTCGCGCCATCTGCGTAAGAACATTTTTCGAGAAAGAAGCAGATGTGACGAAGTATTTGTAAAGACACGACGTAATTTTGATGGCGCTAGCGCAATGCTTAATCTAAAGAGACTTTCATTGGCCCCTGGTTGATAAGAACTGTGTTAGCGCCTGACATGGTAATTTCGCTATCACTATATGGCCATTACAAAGATGAGTAGTCGCAAAAGTCGTAGCAGTAGATGTAAAGAGCTCTGAGTTTAGCGATAGTTCAGCTTGTGGGTGTTTCCTACAAGGCCGCTATCTTGCAATCAGTTCCGTTCGGCCTGAATACCGGGAAGTGCCCACACCATGGGATTTCAAGCTTCGAAGACGTTGTTTGGGACTCTATGGCGAATAGAACAGAAACCACAAACAGAGCTGGTAATAGCAATAGCACCCTCACATTTGGAAGACGAGAATATTTCATCATAGCGTAGTGCATAGAAATGCCAGATCATGTGTTCAAGATGAGCTATACCGTTGCTGAAGGATCATGTATTAGTCGGCTGTATTTCAGGATAAATCTTGTGCAATAGCACGTGGTAAGGGTACGCCCCGACTTGAAGAAACCTGAGTGTCAGACTTTGAGGTATTCTTAGTTTTCTGTCTGGTGGAGGGTTTGTCCCCACGTTAGGAAAAATGTTTTGTCAGTTCATTATACGAAATGGGAGAGTCCCGGTTTTGCAAAACATCAGTGCCACTTCGCCCAACGGTTACACGGTTTACTAGTCCTCGAGCAGCTATGTGAGCTGACTCGTTGAAATTGGGCGGGACTTCCTAAAAAATCGCCGAGTATTTGCCCGGCTTCACTAGGTTTTCTTGTGGCGTATATAAAAAGAGGAAGAAATGAAAGCACGTACAGACAGACAGAGCGCTAAAGCCCGCATAGCATCTATCCTGAACTTTATTTGTCTGACAGTAGAAAGGCTAGCCCAAAAGAGAGGAACGGTAGGAACAGGTGAATGCAGCATAAAACATGGCAGGAGGTACGTTGACTGCAAAAAAGATGCGTAATGCGTACGGAACACCTTTGACATGTCGATAAGAATACGCTGGTCAAACAGATCGTCGCCGGAATTTGCGCCATTGTGAACATGAGAGTTCAATAAAGAAGGCCCCGTACTCGCACGTAGCGATGCAATGAGAGGACGGCACTTGCCAGGCAAAATTTTCAGACACACTAATAATTGGCAGGCACAAGAAGCGGATGACGAGAGAAATAATTGAAGCGTATCAAATTACGAAATGAGGTGACAAGTGTGTCACCCAGGCTTTTGTTTTAAAAAAGTCAGAATTAGCTTTTTCGGACGTAATATAACTCAGTGCATTCCTTTTTTGTTGTACTTTACTGGCTTTTTTTTTGGGGGGGGGGAGGGCTAACACGTGTTATTTCCGGTTGTGTGCCAACAATTATGGGAGTCATTTTTTCATTATATCACGTTGTTGATGGTAACCACTGTGATTTGAGATAACATACATGCGTGTTTACTTCGAAAAGTGTTCATTTCGAAATAAAAAATTACAGCTGCTAGTGAGTGCTTGTCCTGTGCCCTTTCTTAGTGTTTATACTTCTTGGCGCTTTTTTTATGATGAAAATATACCATGTTGAACTGGCAGTTATCCACTGCGAAGATGGGGCACGAAACGTGCCACGATAGAAGTTGTGAAAAAATAAAATAAAAACATGGTTATTTTAACGACTTCATCGTTCAAAGCCGACCAACCATTACAAAGGGCAAACACGTTACTGCACGTATTCCCTTGAGACCGCGTTGCGGACCCATAGCAATTTTGATCAAATTTCACACGCATGATTGCTCTTGGTGTATATTCTACTCATTACACACAGTGCACCCATATGCGTAAGTCTCACCGACACGAGCCACTTTCAATTTTACCGATGAGAATTATAACTTCACAATTTAAAATTCTCCAGTAACGTCATACAATAAAAAGAATGGGAGAAGTGGTAGAACTTGTGCGGTGGCCTGCCAAGTCTCTATTCTGACGTATAAAGATTCTTTGCAGTTCAAGCATCATAGCCGCATGTAAATGTTACAGTTCCCAAGCTGGAGTGCATTTGGCACCTTCAGAAAAGAATAGGCCAAGAATAGCGAAAATAAAATAAAGCAGAAACAACAACATTTCTGTCGTGAACATTATATCTGGACGAGGACGTTTTAAGACTGTCCTCTTGGGCAAGCACGAAAACTATAATTGTTTGGCCATAAAAATATAGAGCAAGCATCAAGGATATGTGAGAAGATATTTGAGCAACATATTTTCTCATAGAATAGATAGATATGTGGGGTTTAACGTCCCAAAACCACCATATGATTATGAGAGACACCGTAGTGGAGGGCTCCAGAAATTTCGACCACCTGGGGTTCTTTAACGTGCACCCAAATCTGAGTACACGGGCCTACAACATTTTCGACTCCATCGGAAATGCAGCCGCCGCAACCGGGATTCTAACCCGCGACCTGCGGGTCAGCAGCCGAGTACCTTAGCCACCAGACCACCGCGGCGGAGCTTTTCTCATGGAATCAAAGGAGACCAATCCACCCCAGGGCTTTTGCTCGAAAGAAGCAGAAACTTGGTGTAAATTCAACAAAGCCCATTTGAAAGGTGAATCAGTCGCTTATGAAGAACACCTTCCAGCATTTGCTATTGAGGCTCGCAAACCAACTTATCCGTAACGAGTTCAACCAAAACTTCTTGCGAATTGCCTTCAAGGGCAACCTTAAATTGCTAACAAGTCGTCACATTGTTGTGCGGAAGCGTACTCCGAAAAAAACTTTCGTCTGACACCAATCACTCAAAATATTCACTCTTTATGCTGTGGTAATTTTTAATCATAGCAATATAGCCCGTGTGAAGCTGGTGAATTCCGTTGAAATTTCGCCCGAACACTGCACGATGAAGGGCCTTTGCAACCTTGTCTAGCGTCGACAGTACTTTGCTGACAAGGCTTTACAGCAGGCAAAAAAGTGGCTTGCAAGACAAAACGTTTCAACACAAAAAGAAAAAAGTTATATTGGCGATGAGTATCTGGCAAGTGGATACTGAAGTGGCCCGTCAATTTGTTGTAATGTAGTTCTACTTTTGAAATTGTGCACATTCATCCTTTTTAGCGCTTATCTCAAAACATGAATTTTTGTACTCATGTTCGAAAACTTTATCTCAGAATCCACAGTATTCAAAATCATAGATGTCGGTTAGTATTTAGACAACGTATTAAACAATATGCTGAGGCAGAAAAATTGATGTGTAAGAAAATGCTATGCCTCAACACGCCATTTAATGACTATAACCAAGCAACAACTACGTACCCCAAGTAAAAACTTTAAATAAAATGGTGTTACAAATTTCAGCGCTAAATCTGCTTCACAAAAAAGCGGACCAACTAATTATCAGGTGGCAGTAAAATTGTTATTATAACTCTTATGATTATGGAAAAAAAGTACATATATTTCACCCAAAATAAATGGCGGGCACATGACTTACTTTATTCTCTAAAATAACTCATAACGACAAGTTTAGTACACCACTGTATATCTACAAGAACTCTATGTTGGCTAATCAACCTAAGCAGTTAGCAATCACCAACCTGTGGTCCAGTCTCTCCTGGTGGCCCCTGTGGTCCAGCGTCACCTTGCTGCCCCTTGACACCTGGTGCACCCGACGTACCCTTGGCACCTGCCGCGCCTGTGGCACCCTGCAGTTGCGCAGAGTAAGCTTGATAACGCACAGTTTTTTTTTAAAATTCCTGTTCCTTGTTTGTTCGACTTTTTACGAAGTGTCTCGCTGTCGTGTTCGTAAGCGCTCTGTTTCATCAGTGGGTCTCTCGTAAACTCGTGCATAAAATCTAGACGAATCTTGAGCAGTATTTGCTCAGATACAGAATCTCTCGCTCGCCGACACAAGTGTTCTTAGACGATAAAAATTCAACTACAAGAAATATGTTTTATGTGGCGTTCTATAGTGGAGTTTACAGATTATATATAGTGAAAGGTTTGACGATATTTTGTGTGGTCGAATATTACAATAAGAATAAAGATGCGGTTACTGACCAAGTGAAGGTGATATCAGAGACACGAGAAACCGTGTATGGCCTTCAGAATCACGCTAAGCAGGCACGATCTGCACGATCTGCAAATCGGTGGCAAGACCATCATTATCGGCGTGTTCTGTCAATGTGTTCGATAAACGCTACCTAGTTGTTGCCTCGTTCATTTGATGTATCTTTATTATCAGTTTCACTAGTGTAACAGCAGTTCCATTTTATACAGTGGCGAGGTATCTTATACAAAGCACAGAGCATTACTTGCTGTCCAAGCCATCTTGAACTCTCACAAGCTAAGCTCAACTGATGGCAAGTGCACAAACGCGAAGGTCTTATATTGATGAGATAACGTCTTTGAGGTTCCTTCGCCCTACCAGTACATGAAACGCATCCGCGGCTTCGAAACGACGTCCTCTGGAATGGTCTGAGATTATGGGCATGATCTTACACATTCCTAATAAAATTATGCAGGTATCCATTCATAAATAGTTCCCAGTGTATTGTTCAAAGTTATTTCCTCATTTTATTATCACTTTAACAAATGTGTGTTGCCCGCGCTGCGAGAGAAGTAACAACGGATTGCTTGTGACAGGCACAGGTTAAAGTCTAGAGCTTAGAAATTGTTTGCCTCTGCTCAGCGAACAAAAGATTACGTCATGTATGGCTCACTTGAATATCTTGATAAGAAAGTGGCACACATAAGCGGCGGTAAACACTGTGGTGGATTTTATGTATCTGAGAAAACGCAGGAGCCATGAAGTGTCGTTGCCATTGATGACGCTGAAGCAGTCATACGCGTAGATGACAAATACCTTGGGCAAGAGCCAATTCGTTTCATGATCCGATTTTCCGTAGTAACAGGAAAGGAATAGAATACCTCAAGGCTGCTTTATGTAACATTATTCCCGGCCGGTAAAGTACTGTAGCAGCCATGCCTGTGTACACGAGCAGCCGGTTTTCGCTCAATGGCGCGAAATCTTGAGGCACTTTCCAGTTCTGAAGTGGCATATAAGGAGCATGCGTGGTCTCGTTGTCAGGCTGAAAACGTCAGAGCCCGGTACTTCCTCAAGGTTTCATGCCGTAGAGCAAAAACTGACGAATCGCGTGCTCTACAAAGACGGGGCCGCAGCTGTACGTCTCAATCAAGCAAAAAGCTTCATTAAGGTGGGGAGCTGGGCTAGTTAGTGACTGAAAAATACACCGCAACGCCAAATAGCGCACTTTTTTATGCGAACCATTTCGTAGCGAACTTCCGTGACTTTGAGCATACCTATCTATCTAGCCGCTTACGTTTGGGTGCTCTTGTGGTCACCGCCTTAACTTGGCGTCAGCCAAAATTAGCATGGGATGGTAAGATGGTTTGATAAATATGAAGTGCAAGTCAAGGAATTAATATTGCCACAATCCCCTCGGCTCCGAACACCAACGAGAGGGAACGATAATGATGGGTATGTTGAAGTGAGAACAAAAAATGCTTTGATATATATATATATATATATATATATATATATATATATATATATATAAGGGAAAGAAGTGTATACCTATGGGCTCGGTTTTCGTGTTTTAACACAATATATGAGATCTAACAGACAGTAATGCCAAAGAATGTACAGGGGAAGGTATTAGAACCAATGGAATGTAAATAGGAAGAAAGAAAAGTGGATGAAAAAATAACCAGCCTAGAGCAGGAATCGAACCTACGACCTTCGAATAACGCGTTCGATGCCCTAACCACTGAGCTTCTACAGCAGCTTTCCCTCCATCCACTTTTTTGGGTTTATATGTGAATTTTGAAGTAGGAGTGACAGTCAGCGCCATCTATAAGCCAAACGACGAGTGTGAAAACACTCTTATGCGCATGTTTGGCGCCACGTAGCACGTGAACTTATCATGAGTGGGCAGCTGATTATTTGTCCCTCTTATACAACCTAAACACACCAAGTCTGCCAGTACGAGACCCTCGTTCAATGAAATAAGGGAGAGAAGTGTATACCTAAGGGCTCGTTTTTCGTGTTTTAACACAATATTAATGAGATCTAACAGACAGTAATGCCAAGGAATGTACAGGGGAAGTTATTAGAACCAATGGAAGGTAAATAGGAAGAAAGAAAAGTGGATTAAAAAATAACCAGCCGTGAGCAGGAATGGAACCTACGACCTTCGAATAACGCGTTCGATGCTCTAACGACTGAGCTACCACAGCATATATATATATATATATATATATATATATATATATATATATATATATATATATATTGACGCGTGTGTACTGGTGGACCAAAACGACAATAAGGGGATTTGGCGGACACCAGGTAGTGGAGCTCTGGCTGATTGAAGATAAAGAAGGCGATCTTGCTGTTCGGCTGCTGAGAGTCGCTGTGTCAACGTTCATCTGCCTTTGGTTCGCGCTGCACCGCGACACTGGTGGAGGTGCTGGGACGCAACCCTACCTAATGCTCCATACTCCCACTGGGAGCCGTTCATCTAGCTCGGACGCATTGTCACCCATTGCAACTCCCGTGCACCGGTTCAGTCGGCGGCTGATAGGCCTCGCTCCAGAGTTCACGCCTTCTACGGAACCTCGCAAGTGCCGATTACCTCTCCAAATGGCCAACGCCAGTCCGCAACCGGCGCCCAAAGGCCCCCTGCCAACACAGCCTTCACAGGTAACCATCTTTCAACCGCTGGTTCCCTATCACTTTAGTGGCGGCGCCCATGAGGACGTGGACGACTGGCTTGAGCACTACGAGCGTGTCGCCAAGATTAATCTGTGGCCTGAACAAGAAAGGCTCTCGCGCGCCTATTTCTACCTTGACGGCGGTGCGAAAATTTGGTATGAAAACAGAGAAGCCAGTCTCTTAACTTGGGGCAACTTCCGACAACAGCTTGTCGATACGTTCACCAATGTCGATCGACGCGACCGTGCGCAGCAGCTATTGGAGCTACGGGTTCAAAAACCCAATGAAAGCGTTACTATGTTTGCTGAAGATATGACTCGTCTTTTTCGTCGAGCTGACCCGAACATGAGCGAAGATAGGAAGTTGAGCTACCTCATGCGCGGCGTTAAGGAGCAACTTTTCGCCGGGCTACTGCGCCACCCTCCAAGTACCGTAACTGACTTCATCAAGGAGGCTACGGCTATCGAGCGGGCGCTCCATCAACGATGCAGGCAGTATCATCGAATGTCTAGCAGCGCCCCAATCAATGCTGCCGCCATACCTGAGGATCAAAGCTCCCTGCGAGACCTCATTAGAGAGATAGTTCGCGAAGAACTTCAAAAGTTCCGGAATCCAGTTGCTCAAACCCCCGTTGCGTCCGTCGCTGAACTGGTACGCGACGAAATCCGCCACGCCTTTTCTACCGCTGGTCCTGGTGACGAGCACCGTCCCATGAGCTATGCCGATGCTCTGTGACGTTCACCATCTGGTACATCGCCGCCATATCACCCAGTGCCGACGGCCCCTTGGTCACCGCGGCAAGAGCAGACCCTGAGCCGACCGCCAAGCCAACCGACGTACCACCAGGCGTCCACAGCAGCACCATGGACATCGTCGCAAGAAGGGAGGCTCAGACGTCCACCGCTCCGAAGAACAGACGCATGGCGCACAATCGATCGACGTCCACTATATTTTAACTGCGGAGGCGCAGGTCATATTGCCCGTCATTGCTGGCACCGCGATGATTCGTTCCGCCAGCTTCGAACATGATCTGACGATCGACGTGCGAACGAAGAATACATACCACGCCGGGAGGACGCCTCTTTCCATGGAGCCCGTTCTCACTTTTACGAATACCGTACTTCTGACGAGGAGGCAATACCTACCCGCCATCCAGGTCTGGGACGTCAATCCCGCTCTCCTTCTCCCGCTCATTCACCTTCGTCACACCGACGTACCTCCGCGGACCTTAACGCAAAAAGGTCACCCAGCCCGCGACGGGGAAACTGAGGGCGGCGACCTCCGGGGGTAAGGTTGCAGGCCACGAGGATGACGACGAAAAGCCCCCATTACACGACGCTTTAAATACGACAAGACGTGAGAGCGACGACATTGTGACCGCTGACCTGAGTGTTTTTCTTGACGGCCAGAAAGTAACAGCCTTAGTCGACACCGGTGCCGACTTTTCTATCATCAGTCAGGACCTCGCCATGCGCCTCAAAAAAGTGAAGACACCGTGGACAGGCCCTCAAATAAGGACGGCAGGTGGTCAGTTATTGATGCCCTCTGGGAGATGCACAGCGAGAATTGACATAGGAGGTTCTTCTTTTGTTGCGTCGTTCGTCGTTCTCGCCGCATGCTGCAAGGATCTAATTATTGGTATGGACTTCTTACGAGAGTACGGCGCCGTCATCAATATCCCAGACAGTTTGATTACATTCCGCAACAGTTCGGGCGCACCTGATTGTACACAAGCGCGACCAAACCAATTGCGTCTAACTGATGACGATGTGGTTCTCCCTCCACGGTCATGCACGCTTGTTTCTGTGGCAGCCGCTATCCAGTTTGACGGCAAAGGAGTAGCAGACCGAATAACCTCGCTCCTCTTCACACACGGCATTTCCGTCGCAAGAGGTATCGTCAGTGTCGCCGCTTGACGCACGGACTTGCTTCTGACAAATTTTAGTGATGAGCGCCGGCACCTTCCAA